TTGAGATCACATTTTGAATAGATATGAACTCATTTCCTACGAAGCCAGCAATCTACTATTGTTGATAGCTGTTTACCAGTTCTATGAGTCAGATATTAGCCAGTGGCAAAGGTCCCTTTCAAATCCTCTGAGTATTTTCTAAACTGTGTACATAGTGTTTTCCTTAAATAAAATGTTGAGGGAGGAATGTATTCTTTTCTTGACTCTTGGTAAATTATGGTTCACAAAACTTTGTCCTTGGGAATAATATTTAATGCATTTATTTTTAAAGGCGTATTTCCTGGCTCTCTTTAATAAAGCAAGTAAGACACTAGGTTTAGCAAGTATTTATTTAGATAACATAGATAGTCTGAGATGCTTTTTAATGTCAATATTTAGATAGCATTTCAAAACTAGAAGTAGAATTAAGGATCCTTTATTTAGATTAAACAAATTGTGATTAATTTAGTATCCCTGAAGATGAGCATAATGCCAAAAGAAAAGATAAACAGATGAAAAAAAAAAGAAACAGTTATGGATTCTGTCAAATTGACCTTGAGTTCACTGGTTTTAAATTTTCCTTTTCCAATATCCCAGCTACAGTTTGCAAGCAGCGTTTTAAAGCTGGTTATGCAGATCAGTTGTTAAGGAAGAAAAAATAGCCATTTATTTGGCCTATATTCTGTAGAAAGTGTTGCCACTAAAAAGAATCCAGGACATTTTTCCTTCTTATCTGGAATGTAGCTCATATCAGCCAACCTGTCACAAGATAGTACTTGATATAAACAAGAGATTGCTAAGACATCTCAGTAATCAATAACAGGATAGCTACAGTATGGAAACCCCAAGCAGTGCATATCATTTGTCTCTGTATCTATTTCTATGGCCAAATGAAGCATTAATTCAAATCATAAATCTATGGTGATTTAAATCTGGGAATGAGCACCTGCCTGCTTTAATGATTTATTTTGTACATTTCAGTAAGCAGGAGATTTGTCCATATGAACTGACAGGTCACCTTCAGATGCCAGGAGCTGACTGTTTATCACCATGCAGACTAGCATCTCATCTTAGCAAGTAAATATTAAACTAAAAGAATCCAATTGATTGTGGATGAGAGAGAACGGTGATGTGGCTATATATTTTACTCAACAAGCTGATGCCCCACTCGGATCTATCCTGAGCTCCTCAACCGTCCCTATAGTCATCAACCTCTTGCAAAGATGTAGACTCAAGGTTATCATCAAAAATTGGAATGCAAAGCAATTATTTGTCAACAACAAGGATTTCTAAACTGTGTGGTTTTTTTCCTAGCTAATTTTTAAAACTCATTATGGATCAGTGAAATCCATCCTTCACAAGAATATCTATCCACCTCATCAAGTCAAATCCAGCCAAATCAAGCAGAAACAAAATCTATTTTCTTGAGCCAGAAGGATTTGTTGATAACTAGGGAATCGCAAACAGGCACCTGTGTAGGAAAGCCTAAAGTGTATGGCTAACCTTGTGAGGCTAGTGAACAGAAGTCATATAAAACTAGAATGGTCACTGGGCGTGGGCAAGTCTAAGTAGTAACAATACATCCAGAGCAAGCAGAACCTCTGTGAAAGGTGTTATTCCTGCAAAGAGCTAGCTTATAGGCAGATTCACAAAAGCATTGAGTTTGATTCTGAGTCACGGGCTTGAGGGTCATAGGATGCCATCTAGATATAAACTCTTCAATTCCTTTTCCTAGCCACTTTACAATGACTGATACTCTTGATACTCCCAGAGCACAACAAATGCCTGCCTGCTGCTGTAGGCCAGTCTTTCCCATTAATACTTTTGTGGTCCTTGCATACTGGATGCATCACTTCGGTATTGAAGTTTAACTGAGTACAATGTAAGATGTTTCCAAGTTTTCTGTTAGCTCTATAACTGCCAAAGTAACATGTACCCAAGACTGGAAGAATGCAAAAAAGGAAGCTCCTGCTCATGGCAGTAAAAATGAGAAGAAGGTGACTTTTAGGAAGGCAATTTTGGGAAACTGTATTAACAAAAGTAACACCAAACTTCACGTTAACAATGTGAGAAGCACACATAATGAATGAGGTACTAAACACCAGGCACACATAGTTCAATTATCAAACTGTGTCATTCCCCAGTTGCCTTGAACGGTTAAGCTCAGAAAGTCCACGTAACTTTTCAAAGTCATAATCAAATTGTTATTGAGCACTTAAAAGAAGCAGGAATTGTCTTCAGAGAAGCCTGGAGCCACAAAAACTGCTCAGTTCAGCAACGACTTTGATCTATGCAGTTTGGTCTGACCTTCACGGGATTCCTTTCTCCTTTACAGCCACTCTCCTACATAATACTCACGTTTTATACTTTCCAAATAAATGTCCAAGAATCTAGGTTTTTAGGAAAGACAGTAGGAATTCTGAACTCAAAGACAATTGCAGCATGTTAAGAATGGAATGAAAATGGTACCAGAAGAGCTCCCCAAATGAGCTGAAGAGACCCAAATAGAAATGATGTGTGTCCCTTTGAGTCTATCATCCCACTGTCGCAAACATGTCTTACTATTACAGTCTTCTAAGAAGACACAACTAAGTGTTTCTCTTGGTTCAAATGGATGTAAGATGGCTCCTACTATGTTATAACACTATAACAAGCTATCAACTAATAGAAAATGATATTTTCACAACTAAAATATAATGGGATATTTAAATTGTTTATATTTTAAGACATAATAATAGCTTAAGTACCTGAATAATTAAAGGGAGTTGTAATTTGGTCACTACGTAAACATTATTGCATACTAAAAGAATGAAATGCATGTTAATGCTTTAATTGTGAGCCACTTGCTTCTTGACTTCTGCCTGATGGTTTCTGAACAGCTAACTGCTGCTCAGCTGCTCAGCGAAATTAAGAGATGGTTTGTTGTGAAAAGATTTCCTTAAAAGGTTATTGTCCCTCTTCATCCCTGCTTCAAGCGTCTATTGCCAGGAATGGCCTGTTTTGTAAGTTTATTCTGAAAATTTAAACATAATCAAGGCATCATTTGGAATAGTAACTATAATTTGTAAGTAGATTTTTTTTTATGGGAGAGGACACGAACACAGTCCACTACTGTACAGTATTTGCAGTCAAAAATTTCCCTCATTTGGGACATTACAGAGGTCAGCCTGTCTGGAGTTCAATGGATTAGCCTTGCTCTCAGACTACCACCTTTCAAGATCTCGGTATCTGCCAAGCAATCACTGATAACTTATTTCTGTAAGTGCTGCAAGTTGACCTATTTCAGTAGGCAAAGCAAAGGAGTTTTATTTTAAGCCCTTCTACACATAGTTCTAAAAAAGAGAACATTACAATTCTTTCATTTTGCTTCAATATTGCTACAATATCCAATATGTGATGTAAAGTCTAAATGGCATCTGGAACCATGAGCTAAGTGATTTTATACTTTCTAGCCTTGTCCCTAGGCTTCCAAGCAGTGTACATGTTGGTATGTGCCTGAACTGTCTTGCTGTAGCATCATCTCTTCAAGTGGTTCTCCATGTTTCCACTGCTCTGAGAATAGCCACCGACAGCCACTCTCAATTCAGTTGTCCTTATGAGGTCCTGCTGAGAGATCTAGTCTTCCCACTTGAATGTCAGAAGTGGTTCTTTGCCTTCATGGATGAAGTGCTATTTTGTGTTTGTTATATATGTTTCAAATCACTTATGCTTATGAGGAACTGTAATGAAATAATTATTACAATTCGTAATATTTCATCAAATGCCTTTAAGTACATACTAATCGGTGGAAAACAGAGAGCTATTGATTAGCATAAGAAACAACATTAATATGCTGCATGAAAAAGAGAAATTGATTGATTTGTGATGAACTTCTATGTTCACTTCAAGCCTTCTTGGAAAGGATAACAAGCAATTTTCCTTTGTTAAGTTGTATTTTGAGCATAAATTCTGTACTTTCAAGGAAAACATTAGTGTATATGAACAGTATGAAATGTTTTGCCACATTAACACCCAGATGACAAATGTTTCATTGATTAAAAAAGCTTAACACACCTTTAAAGCCAGATTCACAAGTCACATGCTTGGTCTGCACAGCTAAAATGGCTGCCTTTGGTTTTATTTTGAGTGAAGAGTAAGGAAGTCAGGCGATCAGGGGAAGTTCATATTGCTCCTTTCAAATGGGTGATGTCTTTGCAATAGTTGTGGGTAGAAGGAATTATCAAAAAGAATACACATTTCTGGCAACAAGGAAAGGTTTCAGTTTCCAAACCCCACATACATACTTTAACTTTGTGGAGTCTTCATTGCCTGCAGTAAACAGGATTCTAAACTGAGAATTTTAGGCAACCGTTTATAAGTTTTACATAAGGCATACATTGCCCGGCATCAATTATAAAATATGGCAAAATGTAAAAGATTTAAGTAACTCTTAGTACATTATATTTTGAAAATGTCATTTTTCTTATTATATAATTGTTTATAATCTCTTAAAATGCCCAATCTGCAAAATAAAATGTATTATATGGATGAATATAGCAAAGCAGATATGATATCTTTATTTTTCATGGTTTCAGACAGGAAACCTGAGAAGCATCCTGTGTGAATGAGGGAAAGCTGATGTATAAACTCTGCTGTTGATGGCAATGAGTTTCTTACTTTATAATAAATGCATTAAAATGATTTTTAGATGTCACGTAGGATTGAATACACACACATATTTTTGATTACCTACACCAAAATTTATAATTTTTATTCTTAAAACTCATTTGCATTATGAAATATATCAATTCATTATGTGTAACCTACAATTTAGTTATAGAACTGATCCTATATTAAAAATCATAACTTCCAGCTTCTTAGTATCTGTATTAGAGAGGAAAAATGAAGACTTAAAAGATGTCCTTTTGTTGATATTAAAAAAACTCATTTCATCAGTGGATATCCAGTAGTTTTATTTTGGAGTATAAATTAACTCGATGAGAAAATGAATTTGAATATTGGCAGTGAACATAAAAACTTACCGACGCTTGAATTCATATCCCCGTTTTCAGAATCTGCTCCATGTTGGTTGTTACTGGCATGATAGTTGCTCATGGCTTCTAATTTGATTTTTTTCACCTTCATTGCTTCAGCAATAGCTGCATTGGTAGCAGCTGCAGCGGCTGCAGCAGCTGCAGTCAAACCTAAAAATAAAAAAAAATAAAAATAAAACCAAAGTAATTCAAACCAAGTGTTTTGTGTAATAGGCCATCTCTTTCCATAACACACATACAAACATAGAATATATAATTTCTTTATGTCATACTGTTAATATATTTCTGTTCCAAAACAGCCCATGCAACACTGACACAATCATTCAAATTCTAATCAAACTCCCTGCTTAAGTATTAGCAGAAACATATTTCACAAGATTGCAAATGTGGAGCGAATGAACTTTCGAAGAGACACAATCTGAACTTTCCATTCCCTGCGCAACCTCCTCTACAGGTGGTTGAAAGTCAGCCCTGCAGGTTAATGAAAAGGCTTACCTCCGACGCACAAAGTCTCCTCCCTAACTGGAGGTATCCCAGCACACTCAAGCTCTGGTAGATGTGCCACCTTTTCCCACACACGGCCTGCAGCATCAACCCTCTGCTTTCATGTGTGGCTCACTTCCACAACTGCCATTCTTCTAGTGAAATTTACTCATACTTTGACATCTTAACCCCCATCTTCCCTGAGATGATGACAGCCTGCTTCTGGCGATAAAGACTATGTTTACATTTATGTTATGGTACATGCAACACTCCAGTGTATGTGTCTTCCTGTGCATGTCTTTTCCTTGTGAAGTGGTGACTTATTCAGTGGCAGCGGCCATTGTCCATGTGCAGCTAAGTAGCTGCAGGATTCAAGATTGTTATGTCTTAACATAGTTTGATATGGCCTGGCTGGCTGAAATATGTTGGAGATCTGCCTTTTCCGAAGAAGGAGAAGTGGAAGGGAATGTCGGGGAAGAGAGTTGGATGGAGGGGCTGGGTGGAGAGGGGTAGGGCGATGGACGGAGGAGAAAATATGATCAGACTGGGTGAAAACTAATTAATTAATCAATAAAAAATAAAGAAAATTACAGCAAATGATTTCATTCCACTTATTAAGTCTTTAAGCACTGATTTCAGTGACTAAAGATTAATCTGATCACCATAGTAAAAACATATTATTGATCAATATCATGTTTGCTTTACGCATTATGGAATATAACACAAGTTCTAAAATGCTGTATTTAAGCCCAGAAAGACCACTGTCCCTGCTTTGTCTTGTATACACAAGACATACAGATGACAGATCAGATATGATACATGGAACAAAAGCCACTGACCTAAAGTGCAGTTCTATAGATAAGAAGAAAAGAATTTTGAACCCAAAACATATTATCTTCTCAAATGTCAACTTTTACAAAGTTTTTTTTAACCACCTTAACCTGGTGTCACCCATCTGAGAAAAAGTTACATGCCATGGGAAAAAATGAATAATGTCTCCTAATTCTAGAACATTAGCAGTCTATGCAAGGAGAGTGTGTCTTTCCCTGCATGCATCATCTTTTCACACAGCTGCCTGAGAGATCCTGTGCACTTTGTTCTGGCCTTCTGGATTTATCTGTGTGATTTGTCTGCACTCCCAGTTAGTAGAAAGAATGACCATCCCTCTTTTTCCCTTTCCTCCCCGCTAATCATTACTCCTAGTTATCACAACAAAAAGATGCTGCCCATGGAATTACGTGGAAGTCTTGGTAGAAACCTTTGCTATGTAATCAGTGCACAGACGACTCGACCTGTTCATCAGATCAGTGCAGAGAGGCGTTGACCATGTTCACCCGGATGCAATAAGACCTGCAGATCAGATCTTTGCTTGAAAAACTCATAACCACTCCTTAAAAGGCATTGATCTAAATTCAAAGAATCCATCTGGGTTTAGCACAAGCATTTGCTGCCTTTTAAGTCCCAACTTGAACAGACTCTCTCATCTTCCTATGATTGAATTTTCTCCTCAATGACTCATTTCCTTCAAAGATGTTTCAGAGCATTTTCTTTCCTGTTCCCTTTAAATCATCTTTGTGATTCCCAGAAAAAGGTTTTCCTTGATTTTTTTCCTTGTCACCAATGTGAACATCTTCTTTGTCCTTTCCTCTGTTTCCTGGTGTTGACTTGTCACTAATTTATATCTCTTCTCAGCCCCATAACTTGACTTCTTGCTACAGAAGGATCTAGTAATTGCATTCAATATATAAAGAGATGCAATTATATACTAGCCTTCAATTTTTAAATACCACAAATATAATTGTTCAAGATCTTGTCATAGGAAAACCAATTGATCTTTTTTGAAAAGAGATTCTTCTGCTGTAAAATCATTCTGAGTCCAAAGAGGAAATAATAAAGATCAAGTAAGAAAACTAATAAAGATTAGCACATTATACTCAGAATGGACAAGTCTTATTCCTTATTCATCTGCAAGTCAAACCCTAGTGTTAATTTTCACTGGGAAACTTTCTTTACTTAGTCCCTTACTTTAGATCATTTATATTTATCTTAATATTCAATTATCATAACTACTTCTAGTAAAGTTATTATCTTATATTTGGTTGAAACTTTTTCCAAGTTTCACAATTCTATAACTCTAAAAGGTACATGTGTCAAAATCAACTGTGCACATGAATACATGCATGCTATAATCTGAATAACATACAATTTGGCATCCTAATTTTACCTAAGTCTTTTTTAATACAGGTAGGAAATTTTGGTATATGCAACAATTATAGATTTTCGGTTCCACTAACCCTTCTTGTACTTGATTTTTAATATCTTAAATTCAACCAATCTCCTTCATGTTCACTACTGCCCCAATTGCAAACTTGGGAATTTATCTTGGGAATATATCTTATTCCTTAAATTCCTGCAATGCTTTTTTTTAAATAGTCTTTTTCAGGGGAGAGAACACTAGTTGGTTATCCAGCACCAAATGATCAGTCCTAAAAAGACACGTACAAATAGCATTATACAGACTGAGCAGGCTATATTTCAAAAAAATATATGTATATATGTATAAATATATGCACACAATAACAATTTACCAAAAAAGAGGCTATGAATTTAAATAGAGCAAGGAGGGGAATATGGGAGAATGTTGAGGGAGAAATGGGAAGGGAGAAATCATGTAATTATTTTATAATCTCAAAGTAAAAGCCAGAGAGTGGTGGCACACCCCTTTAATCCCAGCACTCAGGAGGCAGAGGCAGGTGGATCTCTGTGAGTTTGAGGTCAGCCTGGTCACAAGAACTACTTCCAGAACAGTGACAAAGCTAGCATGAAAACCCTGTCTCGAAATGAGAGAGAGAGAGAGAGAGAGAGAGAGAGAGAGAGAGAGAAAGTGAGAGAGAGAGAGAGAGAGAGAGAGGCAAAATAAAAGGAAAACTAACTTCATATAATACAGTTTTAATCATATCTACTCCCTTCCCCAAAATCTTCAAAGATTCAGCCCCTAATCTTTTACCTACCCTACCTTGTGTAATATTTTTGTTTATAAATGACAGAATCCAATTTATGCTAGAAGTGAAAGCTGAAGAAACAAAAAAAAATCTATATGTAAATTCTCAAGTGTCATGTGCACACATGTATGAATTAAATGCAGTACAGTCTTCAAAGCAGTCACTTTCCCCACCTGGGATGCTTTCCTCACATAGTAGTCAGCGTGGCCAGGGAAGATGAAGGCAGGATGATGCTATTCATTGTCTGCTATTTAATACTTTACAGGCTTCTTAGTGTTCGCTTGCCTGATAATCCGTGTGGAAATATCACCAGTGCCAGATTAATTTCTGTGCCCCAAATACCTAATGCAATTTCAGTTACCCAAGTGGGTCTACATTACCTTCTGCAACTTAAGTTTTTCAATATGCGGGTGTGACTTTGTGGGGGGGAGCCTTGTAGTTCTGTGGTCTAGACAAACCTATGACACCTTCTCATGGTGATGTAACCACTTAAATAAACAGGCTCACACCCTTAACTATTCAGTCTATTGGAGAAAGATCTTTCGCCTTTTATGAATTATCTCAATGCTCAGTCCTTTCAAGAGACATACATGACGTTACCCGGCCTCTCAAGCAGGACCAGTGGTAATCATGTTTTCCTTCACTCTAGGTGAATAGGAATTTGGATTTCAAGTATGTGTCAGAACCAGTCATGGAGCTTTCAAACAAAGCACATAGCTATATCATACCACCCATAATTCTGGCACAGAAGGTCTGAGCTAGAAACTCTGAGATTCTGCACTTGCTTATAGTAATTTTACTGCTACATGCATCGTCTTTCCATCCTTCTGTGTAGTCTAGGACTAACAACCCAATACTTTGATGTCTTTCTCTTTTATATGAGAGAAGATAATGTGGTTAAAATAATATGGGAGTTATGGCTACACCCCTAGGAGATTTATAAACAGAAGATGGATAGATTCTTGGTATACTTACACCAAGTGTTTTTTTATTATGATGGTGTTTGGTGTGACCTGTCATTGAATGGAAAAGTCATTCACATACAAGATCCCTTGAAGAGCCACAAGGAAAATATAGCGGTTATTTTGAAAATGCTAAAAAAAAAAAAGGTACATGAACACCTTATGTTTGTGTTAGATTATATGAGAATGCATGAGAGATAACAAATCTGAGAATTTAATATAAAACAGGGGTGTCCATAGATTCTTTCTGCGTAAAGCTTTAGAGGCCAAGCCATTTGGTAGCTCATTGCATCTATTAGAGTTCCATTGGCATTCAGTGGTCCTTCCCTTTTAAACTTCCAAGGTAATTCTCAAATCCCTTGAATCTTATTGTCTCTAGTGAAAGCATAGTGTGAATTTCTTTGTAGCCTCAGATGGAGGTTGTATCGTGTATATTGTTCAATAATTAACTTCCTTTGAAAAAGAAAAGTGGAAGAAATAAATAATTGACAGAATACCAAGACTTCAACCCATGACATGTTTTTATGTAGCAAAAACTTATTCTCTGATGGAAATAGCAGTAACCTTAAATATCTCCCTTATTCCTTCACCCTTTCTGTGGCACTATTTTCACAGACCCCACTTCTGTTCTGCCTCAGACTCACGGCAACTTTAGCTTCCTCTGCTTTCATGACTTACTCCAAAGTGTCTTACATTTTCACAT